AGGACGCATCACTGGGCCATCGCGGCCATCGATGGTCGTCGAGTCGTCGCCATCCTTCGGCCGAAAGGGTGTGTTTGTGGCGATGTTTGGGATGCGTTTTCAACAAAACAGATCAGGATGTCACCTAAGAACCTTTCTGTCAGGAATTGGGGCTGTGACTGGGGGCACATTGACTGGCTTCCCTCTGGCTGGCCACTTGTTTGATCTTGTTTGTGTATCCATTGACTCCATTGGCTTGTACCCACGTCGAATTGGCACAGTCTTAGTGCGTGGATCTTTTTGGGCAGATCTCCAGTGACCTAGTCCCAGATATGTCCGAAACAGAAACAGGACCGATGCCGTGTGCAGGTCTCCAACGCTCCAAACATCTCCAAAAGACGATGTGAGATTTCCAGTGTGTCAGGTCTCCCAACGATGAGGTCAGCCGACCGCCCTTTTCGCCAGGCTCTTGCTGAAATACCAGCAGAACCTGGAGGTCGAGAAATACCCCCCCGAGCAGCACGCTTCGGGGGGCCCGATCGACGGTCAGCTGCCGAGTCGTGAGTCTGGTGCGAGTCGATGGTGGAAGAAACGTGTCGAAGTGGACGTCCCAAAGGATCGGTCGATGAAGTCTGAAGTGTTGGTCGGAGAATATGGCGAGGAGCCACGATAGGAGTAGGAGGACCAATTTCGCGTTGGTCTATGCACGCCAAGCGTGTGAATATTTTTTTTTGGAGGAGTATCGAACTGGTCGCTGGTTGTATCTTCACAGAAGGTCTTGGCAATAAGACTCCAAAACGCCTGGCACTGTGCTTTGCTACTGCACTTGGTCGGGCCAGACACGAGTGGTATCGCTTGCTTCCCTAAGGAGGTGGCAAATCGCGTTCAAGGCCCGCAGTTAGAAGAGATTGTCGCAATGAGATAGTCGCGCATTGGTGAACACCAAAAGCAATTTCAATCTCCGGAGGGCCTAGTGCCAGTGGCATTTCCTTTTGCGAGCCCCACAGGCGGATGCGGAGCCCCGGGCGCGACGACGCCGCGGAGGACGACAGCTACTTCGAGTCCTTGGACGATGATGAGGCGCTTAGCGTCGCTGCAGACGTGGGAGTCATTGGTCGTTGAGTCGCCAAAAGAACGAGAGACCGAGGATAGAAAGGTGAAAACCCCGATAAAGTCTCACCACATACCTGGCCACTGGTCACCAGGAGATGTTGGGAAACACCGGGGTTGATCGCTTCACACCATTTGACGCGGGGTCCGATGATAGCCAGAGACACGAAAGGCAGGGTTCTCGGATTTGTTTTCGATTCCTTTTTTGGTCTGGGTTCCAGAACCTGTTTCGTATTTTATTGTGCTTCCTTTTTTTTAATGCAGAATCGGGCAGACAATAATTACTGTAGAAGGGTGATGGACATGGTCAGCAGCACAGACCGGCAGGATTTAGCTGGATGTGAGTCAACAATCACCTCGCAGTTTCAGGGACCAAGTAACCTTGCAGCAACCCGCTACAAAGATGCACAAGATGCTGTGGTGAGATGTTTTTGGTCCACCACAAGTTCTGGCCAAACCCAGAGCAAAATGCAGCGAGAAGATGCCCAAGCTGGCCCAAGCTGCTTCGCAACTGGGCATGTACTTGCTGTGGGCAGGAGCCACCGCCCAACGGCAAGGAGAAGAGTCCACCCCTCAGAGGTTCTTGCAGAAATCAAAGCTATATATATATATATGCACATAATGTGTATATATATATATATATACAACGAATTCGATGATCAACCTCAATCAGCAGGAGAGCCGTTCTCGACAGAGTCGTGCTGTTGCAACACTGGCTCCAAGGTGAAGGATTGCCTGGACTCCTGGGAGGTTATGCTGATGAGGATGGCGATGTCACGTGCGAAAGCCGTGGGAAGACCTGCCTGTTTTGAAGTTGCTGATCCCAACCTTTCTGGTGTGGGAGTAGTCCTTTGTGTCAAAAGCGGGCAGGAAAAAGATGCCGACGATTCAGCAGGGTGACCCAGCCAGAGCGGAGTCCAGCGACGAGCCCAGGCGGAGTGGATGTCTTGTGTCTTGGCTCAGCTCGGACAAGCCACACACGCATCCAGATGCATCCGGACAATGCACCCCTGGGAGTGTTTACCATATATATATATATATATCGTCACACACACACACATATATATATATACACACACATGGCGGCCCCGACGAACTGCAGGTGTTGCTGTAGAAGTTTCTTAAAGCCGTGGCCCTTGTCTCACTGGCCCTTGAGAGCCCCAGTGAGGCTCAAGCGGAGGAAGGGTCCGAGAAGCAGACTGAGGCCCTCGGAGACGTTTGGACTCAGGGGGTAGGGCAAGTCCACGTGTGGTGCGGGGGTTTGCGGCACACCGCCATTCTGACCAGCTGCTAGCTACCAGGAACCCGACCGGTTGACTTCCGATCCTAACTGAAAACAGGCAGTTGACGTGGTTCAGAGGCTTTCTTTTTGCAGTATTGAAGGGCGGGAGGCGAACACCTTTGGAACTTTGGGAACTTCTGAGAAGAATGCCAGAATGCATCATTCAGTGGCCCTTTGCCAGAGGCCGGGGCGAAGTCGCTGGGCCATGTGTCTAAGCGCCCGCGCACGCCGTGGGCCTAGAGGGCCTTTCTGAGTTTTTTGGAGCTGGATAATTCGGTGCTGGATTCAGCATGCCTGCATGGTAAGTCACTTTGATGTTGATGTACTGTAGGACATCCCACCAAAAACATTCAAAAACTAGTTTAGGAGAGTGGCAGTGGGACTAAGCATGAATGTCCACAGCAAATCGTAGCAATGGAGTTTGTAGCTTCCTGCTCTTCGATAGCGTCATGCCGAGCCATACCCCATCCGGCATTCAACGCAGCCTCTTCTGACTGGGGTTCGGGTCATGCGTCCACCCGTGAAGCATTTCTGGGCTCCTTCACATTCACAACCTCCCTTCAAAGAGACCATTGCCCCACCACTAACATAACGACTCTCAGGGTGGAGCCTGAGGAGGCTGAGAAGACCAGGTGGGGCCGAAAGCAAGAGTAACTTAGAGCCTTATGGTTGGGAGTTGGGAGCAGTGTGATGCAGCTGACAAGACCGACTCAACAAACTTCAGAAGCCACATCCTCTTTGGCTGAGATCGAGTGTGTGGGACTGCCAGACACGACACGGCCACGGGACATGTGTCATTTGCTCTGCGACATCATTGTGCCAGTCAGTGAAGTGGCCGAAGGGCTGCTGGGCACAGAGAATGGCACTTTGGAGGAGCTTAAGTGCATTCCGGGGTGCGTCCACACCCTTTGAACAACATGAAAACAATAGATCGTCGCACACCTCACATTTTGGGCAAGTTGGGATCCCCACACTTCTGGGGGAGCCTCCAAATCTGCCCCAGCCGCCCGACTGTAGCTGCTGAAGCTCCCAGAAGTGGGATGACAACACGTGGGCGGGTCTCTGAGCTAGCTTGGGCAAATACTCCCAAGCTGGCCAGTGTTTCTCACAAAGGACAAGACTCTCAAGCATTCCCAACTTCCTAACATTCTATTTTGGTTGTGGCATTCGTGCAAGAGTCATAAGTAAGATGTTTGCATGGCCAGCTGTGCCGCTGGCACAAGAGGAGGACCATATAGAAATCAAGCCCACTGGCAAGTGCTGCAGACCTCCCACGATTCAGACGAGCCTACACGTGGAGGCACGCAAGGTGTTGCTCTTGACGGAAGATATCCCGGCAGCGACGTGGGAAAAGGAGGTTGCTTGCGTGCGCCAAGCATGAGGGATGATGTGTCGCCGGACTCAGTAGAGGCAGAGGACTCAATTTTTTTTTCCGGTGCTGTGAGGCAGGATAGACCGCTTTGCAGTTTTATTCCAGGTTTTGTGATTGCAAGGGTCTGCCGAATTCAGCGCAGTGGTGCCACATGCGGACAACTCTGTGAACATCAGCACGGGATCAGATCCTGCACCCCAATGATCCCAAGATTTGCCATGGCTGTTCTGGCTTGAGCAAGCGGTGGGCTTCAGAAGGCCCAACGTTGAGCCTTGGAGGCACTTCGTTGAGAAAGAAAGCAAGTCTTCAAACAGACTGAGGAGTCTTTCGTGTGTTGGTCTTCACTGAACATTGAAATTCTTTACCCGGTCCTGAAGGTGACGGGGGCACTTGGATGCAGTCTATCACTTTTGGACCCCTGCCGCACACTCGATGCCCATCGTCACCGATGCCCATCGTCCCGACCGCGCAGGCCGTGGCCATGGCCACGGGGGCAGAGCTGGTGGAAGAGAAATGGCAGCCGCATGGGGCCTCGGTTGAGCCGAAGAGATATAGTTGTTCTTTTTGGGATGTCGAGGGTTCATGATGATTTTGCACAAGAATCTCAAGGATTGTGCTTGGACATAGGTAGTCCAAGCAGGAAATGACGGTAATGATATTAAACCACAAGCTAAAACGCTAGAACGCAGCATGCCACTGGTATACAGGTGCTACGACATTCGTCTGTGCTTTCTGGCAGACATATGGCTGGTCTCAGGCTACTCACTTTGATTCACTCACTACTCAGGACAACAAACATAATGCGATGTGGACTCTTTGATCACAGTAACTAAACACACCATTTGGATCCAATTGGATCGTAAAACAATGTAAGCCTCTTCATATGGGGGTTGACATGTACTGTAATCTAGGTAATTGTTTGGATTTGCAGACAGAGGTGGTCCAGAGGAAGCACCCGTGACAGAATTGCCCCAACCTCTCTTCGTCATAGACCTTTAGGCTCATGGGCGGAGCAGCGACAGTCAGCTATAAAAGACACATGAAAACAGTCAAAGACCAGGTTGAACCGTGATTGAACATCGAAGGAATCCCCCGCACAAGTGCCCTGCATTGTTGGAGTTGATTCCAGAATGCGTGAGATTCCAGGTGAGAGATTCCAAGAGCTCTGCTAAGGTGCTGTGGCCAACTTCACCAGAAATTGAACAGATATTTTAGCCCCGATCTTTTACGGTGGCCAACTTGACCTCACGGGCGTTACGTGTTTAGTCCTTGCAACCCTCGCTGACCTCACGGGTCGCACCGGGCCATGGATGTGGTACATCGTCCCAGCGGAGTGTGGCGTGGCGGACGTGGGGGAAGCCTTCGACTTTCTTATTTTGATAGTGCCGCTAAGAGGTAGTAGCAAACGGTAGCTAGTAGCTTAAGTAGCTATTAAAAGAAGCTCCCCCGGCCTCAGGGCCGAGGGGAGATTCCTTGAAAAAGCGCTTGCACTGATCACTAATCATTTGGTTCCTAGATTTTAGGGACACTTACTGTAAGTTCTGCCCCATGGTTCGACCAGTTGCCAGTTTTACCGGAGCTGGATGTTGCATTCAGCAGATCGCTTGTGGGCAACCCTGCGAGGTCAGATTTAGGGAGGGTGGTGATTGGACTCGGACTGAGAAAGCAACATTCGCCCAGGCGGCCATTGACATGGCGGAGCGAGCTGGCGATCATTTTAGAGGCGCTGGTGGCCATTGGCAGTGTGCCCATGCTGCCAATGCTGCTGATGTACCTCTTTTGGAAGGCCGGGGTTCACTCGGACGTGAGCAGCTCGGTCGAGCTGGGGGTCTCCTTATCCAGATTTTGCGGACCGGGCAATGTCTACTTTCCCGGGTGCAGAACCCCCATTACCGGAATATGATATGTTATATTTTGGAGGGTATATTATATTTATTTTTGATTTGTTTTAAACTTGGTATTACTTTTTTTTTTGGGATAGCTTTTGCCTTTTGCAGTTGTGGCTTTGGCCAACCCCGGCTGACCATTTCAACCTTTGTTCTGCTCATCAGAGGAATGTGAAGTCCGAGGCACAGCTGCCAGATGTAAGAGCCCTTTGCTTGTCCTTTTTCCTGTTCCTTTACAAACCAGATAAAACATGATAAAACAACAAAAATAATACCAAAGTAAAATGCGAACACTTATGTTTTACCCAGGGCACGTGGACTCCACGGAGTCATTCTAATAGAATATATTCTACTCCGTCCGCCCGAATCAACACCAGGCCACCATAACTGCCATAACCCTCATTGGCCGACCTGCCTTTCTTTCCCTGGGTGTAGCAGTACAGGAACTTCCGTGTTATATACTATATATATATATAAAAGCATTTGTACACCGGATCCTTCGCTGCAAAAATCCACGTGGGCTGCTTCACCGTTGTCGCACCGTTCGGCATCTACTCCCATGAGGCCTGCCGCAGCAAGCCGGAGGAGCGTTCGACCAGATGGCGACACTTTGGGGGGTTGCTGGCGTTGTATCTTTTCTTGATGTGCTTGGGCATTGAATGGCTTTGAGCGTTTCACCCGTGTTGACCATTTAAACTGACAGTATTTCCAAGCGGGACAGCCCGCTAGCCGCTAGCCCCACTTAAAGAGGGATTTAAGTGCAAGGCCATCCGCTCTGCAAACCTGCTCATGCACTTGTGCTTTGGGTCCTTGGGTCCTTGGGTCCTTCCCCACGCGGCGCGGCGTCCAGGTCCCTGAGCCGCTCCTATCCAGCCGAGGTTCATCCCAACGATCCCCAGGCCTTGGGTCATGGGAAGCGCCTTCTTCCGCTGGTGGTTGGACTACTTCTCCGTGGGCCTCGTGTACCAGGCTGGGAGGCCATTGCCTCCCAAGCACCTTGGCCTCACAGGACTCCAAGAACCATTCACTGGTTTCATGAAGCTGGAGGGGGTGAAAGACCGCCAGAAAACCTTCCACGTTTTCTTTCAACATTTTTGGGTGATGGCGCCTCCAGGAAATCCCCAAACGCAGGCAATACATCTACCTCTTCATGCCCCACGGCCTCTACCCCTTCAGTGGGGCCTGTGCCAGCATCGCCGGCATGCGTGACCTGTTTCCGCGCATGCGCATCGCCGCGGCCTGGGTCTCCTTCCGAGTCCCGGCGTGGGGCCTCGGTGGTTGAAGCGAAGCGGAGCGGACAGGAAGAGGGCTTGGTGGGGATGAAGACGTCGCTGCAGCGGAAGCTATTCGGAGCAAAGGGCATCGCTACGAACGTAGCTCCTGGCATTGCTGCTAGGAGCATTCTTACTACTAGTAACAAGAAACGACCCTTTACATTTTGTGGGTAACAAAATGTAGATGAAGATGTCGAACCCCAACTTCTTCGTTCGCGTCAAACTGCTCGTGGCAATGAGGGCATGTTGTAGATGAAAAACGTGAGCAAGAGCAGCCCTGAGGGCATCGAGTTGTTTCCCCTGTGCTTTGGGTCTTTCTGAGCGCGTGTTTAAGCTAGCAGCATGTGGGCGCACGCACATGTGCACACAGGGGCCTTGGGTCATTTGCGTCGAAGATCTGCAGGTCATTCGGCAACTGATGGGCTGGATCAACACCATCCCGGCAGATGCTACCTCCATCCAGAAGGCATTGAACGGTGGCGATTCCATCGGCCTGTTCCCAGGCTGGGATAGCGCCAAAACCCTGCAGCAGGTTTAAGATGAGTCTTTCTAGATAGCACGCAGCGAATCCAAGAGCCCAGTGAGATGTGTTGGAAATCCCGGTCGAGTGTGGCAGCCAAAGTTATTTTGGCACAAAACATGGAGGTGGCGTTGCTGAGATGGTGCGTACAGATAGCACGAAGGAGAATTTGCTGCTGCGGTCACGCAAAGGCGCGCCCTGCACTTGCACATTTGAGGCAGCACTGTGCTTTACATTCATGCATGCATGCATGCGTCAACGTAGTGACTAGTGACTGCAGTTACCGACTATATAGGTATACGGTATACATATATCATACCTTACATTACATTACATTGCATTTCCTTACATTGCATTACATTACATTACACTACACTACATACAAAAACTATAAGATTTGGCACTTTGGGACTTACATTGGCATTCTGCGACTCACGTGTTTCGTGGAACCGCAAATTTGTGATGAAGTAAGAGAGGGTTGCAACAAAATATTCTAAAGCTTGAGTTGGCTTTGCCCTTGACGCACCCGTGTTTTGCCAAACTCTGCGGGGAAATGCACACACACAGAGAGAGAGAGAGAGAGAGAGCGAGCGATTTGGTATACATACACCACAGACAGACAGACAGGACAGGACAGGACCAGACAGGACCAGACAGGACCAGACCAGACCAGACCAGACAGACAGACAGACAGATAGACAGACAGACACAGAGAGAGACAGACAGAGGGAGAAAGAGACACAAACAGAAACAGAGACAGGACAGACAGAGACAGACACAGACAGAGACAGACAGAGACCGAGACAGACAGAGACAGAGAGAGAGAGAGAGAGAGACAGAGACAGAGACAGAGACAGACAAACAGACATGCAGACATGCATACATACATACATATATATATATATTATATAGTATGATGATATTTGCATACCTATACATACGCACGTAGATGTGAGCATAGGACGCGCTATTGCGGAGACTTTCAAAGATGCACGTTTGGAAGATGAGACAACATGTTTTAGCAAGGGAGGGGCGACCTGGATTGTGTTCCATTCCTACTGCGCTTGTGCGTCGGAGCTGCCTCGCCTGGAGGCTTCGTGCGGATCGCCATGCAACAGAAGGTGCCCATCGTCCCAGTTTATGTGTTTGGCCAGTCGGTGCTTTGGAGCCAGGTGCCCTTGCCGCGGTGGGTAGATGCCCAGCCCAAATGCGGGGAGAGTGGCGGGGCGGGGGGGCAAAGACTAGGGAAGGCGGACAGTCTTTCCAAGCTGGTGGGCAAGGCAAGACCCGTGTTCCTGCTGTTTGGAAAGTTCCGTGCCAAGATTTGACATTGCTGCATTTCCCTGATGTAGTTAGTGTGTGACATTCTCAGCTCATCACCATCCTCAACCTACAAAGCCCCTGCAGGCTGAGAAATCGGACCGACGGAGACAGATCATCTGAGGAACGGTTGAGCCGCTGGATTCAGGCCAGCATCATCCTGCCCTATGGCCGCTTTGGATCGCTGGTGCCACAGAAGCCTCTTGGCTGAGTCGTAGGGTTGGTTCGAGTCCGAGGGTTTGAGTTATTGAAACTGTCCTGACTGAAAGCAACTTCTGACGAAAGTATTCAGTGTGGTCTTCAGCTCAGCAACCACTCGAGACGTATGGGAAATGGATCGAACAGTTCCCAAGTTCCTCCACTGTGGAAAGCTACGATGACTTGGGGGCTTCTATCAACGGTCTGGAGGATGAGCGGGTGGCCGCCAGGGTTTATGGGGGACCGGTCTGGGGGTATTGGGCCGTGATGTGCGCGCTGCGACGCGATGACCCTTCAGGAAGCAACTGCTTTATGCCGTGGGGAACCCCATTGAGCCTGGTGACAACATCAATACAACACACGATGCAGCTCGGATGATTTGAGCTTTCAGACAGTCTTACAGACATGTAGTATAATACAGTCTTAGAGTCTTACGGCATAACATTCCAGACAGTCCACCTTTGTGAATCTTTGTGATTGTTATATATTGTTATGCCGTCCTCCAAGTCTTTGACGCTTGCTCTGCCGTTGCAACTGGCTTGATTCTCCCACGTGAGGCCGTCGTCGCAGCAGTGCAGACGCTTTATGACACCTACAAGGGCCTCTACGGTTGGCAACACCGCCCGCTGCAGATGGACTGACATTGACTGACTTGCTGGGCCAGAGAAAGGCCCGTGAACACTCGCTGGCCCATTATGGCAGAGGTGAGTTCAGGGCGCGTTTGGCGTCCGTAAACGGCCCAAAGAGGCGAACGAAGATGCGTGCAAAGCGCGCGTGCCTGCACTCTGGCTTGGATCTCACTATAAGGCAACAGCAGGCAGAATCATCAGCCTCCACATCCACACTAGATGCACTGGAGGGAGTTGCAAAGGTCAGCCCCTCCGTCGACGGCTCCCACCCCTTCCGATGGCTTTGTGTGCGTAGAGACCTCACAATATCCTGTATGTTTAATACGCTCAAGAAACACCTCCTATTGGCTGCCTATGGCCGAAGAGCCCAAGAGCTGGGTGGTCGCAATTGTGCGAAAGGTGGGACGTCCCAACTGCCCGCCACGCTCGAGGTGCCCCCTCTTCATGAGCCCTTTGTCGGCCTACCGCGACGAGCATGCCGGGCTCTCGCCCATCGTGGGTTCGTGGAGGTGGGCAGAGGTGGTGTGGAAGCTGGGGTGATGTGATGGTTCGTTGTGTCTCGCTTCCAGCATATTCCACCATTTCAAGTCTTTGGCGGGGGTACTTTTGGATGATGGACATCCACGCAGCGGACATACTTCAGATGACGCTGCTCCTTCCCGGCTTTGGATCAAATGATTTGAGGAGATTGCTACTCAGATTTGTCCAAGGGTGCCGTTTGCACCGCTCTGAGGTCATCGATATCATGAAATGTGGAGTGCGACAGGGTACCAAACCAGCGGTCGAGAGGCGGGACGTGCGAGCGAACCTGTTGGGCTCATGCTGGCACCAATGAAGGCCATTAATTCTGCTTATGTGCCCTGGCAGTGGTTGTTTTGATCCTGATTTCACTGGCCAGTCTTTGGACAGTCACTCTTGGCCTCGAATGTAGGATGGCCAGAAACTCGATCTTCAGGGGGACCTCATTCGCAACTTTTCTTGCTCATTCTTTCTTTTGTCTCTGAAAGAGTCTGAAGATGCTTGGAAGAGTTTCTGAAAGTTTGACAGCCCTATCGTTTCATTTGCGACGTTCATGGAGCGATTCTGCAGCTCTGGCTCTTAGGCTTTTGAAAGCTCGCTTCGCATTGCAAGCTCGTTCGGTGTCCATTGGGCCATGGCCGCGAAGCCATCGATCAACGCTGTGAGCTTTGGTTCGCCCCCCGACCCTACGAAGGTCCAGACCTATCCGGGCGTGGCCTGTCGGTATTTGCCGCACGAGGCATTGACCATCTACCGCGAGAAGATCTATGCGGAGCGGAAGGCTTATCAAACACCCTCAGGCGCCAGGTGGTTCAAGGAGCATCGCCGCAAGCAACATGAGATGGAACGCCTTGAGAAGCAAATCAAGGACTTCCGGGAATCTCGGAGGGCTTTTGCTCGAAGCTTGTCATTGCCAAGTGTCGGAGGCTCGGAGCTCTCCTGAAATACCGACCGTGCAGTCCATGGACGGCCATACATGACAAGCCTAGTGCTGTTTGATCTCCGCGGTGCGATTTAAGAGCTTCTATGAGAGATTCCGGTTCGGACCAAATTCCTGTGCCCGAAGACCCATCTCATTCTAACACTGACAGTTGAAGTTACACATTCAAAGGCATTTCTGTTCATTTCCTCATTTCCGCTGCCCGGCTGTTCCCTGTCTCTCTTGGAAGCTCGGCGAACTTCCCTCCAAGCTCAAGGCTTGGAGCCCAAGTTCATGTCTTCGGTGCCATTTTTTTGGTCTCAGGACCCAAAGGGTGTAGAGACATCAGCACCGGCCATGATGATATGGCAGAGATAGGCGGCGTCAAAAGGCAGTGGCGAGCGAATTGCACATGTTTTGGGTGAATGCAGAAGTGATCAGCTTGAACAGATTCGCATTGTACTTCGTTCTCAAGGATGGAGCCCACTTGTTAGACGATGCTCATCTATATACCGTATTTTTCCGAACAGAGCATCCGTTTGATGTGTCTTCCTGATGTGTTCGTCGTGACCTGCAGGCCCGGCAGATCGCGGCAAGTGATGGAGGAGGGTCTGAGAGGGGGCACTGGTGTGACGGGCCCAAGGCCTAAAATCTATTTCAACCCCGGATGTTTTGTACTTAGTAGCTCCTGGCATCGCTATTAGTAAAGCTGCTAGTAGCTAGTAACTAAGGGCATTGCTACTAGTTACATATTCGGAGGGAGGGTTGGAGGGACTATCTCTTGAGGCTGGGGTCGAGGGGTTGTCCTTAGCCGTTTCAATTCGAGGGCCAAGGCATCCAGCAAACCAAGCCGAGGCTTACAGTTCGAAGGATTCAAGTTCGCTACACGCACAACTCATCGTCTTATCGTGGTGAGAGACCCACACCAAGGTCGCAATTCAGAGCTTTCTAGCATTTCAAATTCCTACCATATTCCTACTACTACCCACGCAGATGGAACATCCACCCAGAGACCAGAGAGGACACAAAACCTCTGCCAGAGCAAGTTCCAGTCTCCGACGATAGATTCGCCATCCTTCAGCATCGCTCGCCATTTTTTCTGCTCGATGCGAAGCCATCGGCGCTGCGAGTCGCGGATCCAGTCGCTTGTTGTGCTCCACCCGCCAGGCCAGCAATGCGCTGGCGGCCGATCCGCGCGGAGGCTCAGGCTTTCGAGAAGGTCGTTGCAGCGGAGCGTCATTCTCGGCGGGTTTTCTGGGCTCAATGACAAGACATGTGTGGCTCCCTATGCCGATGAGAAGAGGGACTTAAGCTTAAAGTTGGCTTAAAGATTGAACACTTTTCATTTTGGATCCCTTTTGTTGATGGGGTTCCCTGTCGCATGACCCGTCGAAGGCTATAGGATGCTATTCATCCGCTTGGCATGCGGGAATTCACCCTTAGCATAGAGGGGGACATGAAAGTCCCGCATAAAACATCTCATAACACCAAGGTCTAAGGTCTTGCAAAGAATTGAACTGTTGCCATGGCGCTGCTTGGACGGACCTCTATGGGTGCGTGATGGGAGCATGGCAGACTCGGAGGACCTCTATGGAGATCTTTGCAAAGATCTTCCAAAGGTCCCAGCTGCCTTGGCACCACCGGCACCGCCTGCCTCATCGGTGGCCGGTGGCAGGGAGTCGTGGGAGCCAAAAGCCAGGGCGAGGAACTTGGTGTGGAAGCCACCGACGCCCGCAGTGGCCACAGCTGTGACTGGTGCCGGTGCTGCTCCGGCAGCGGCAGCCTCCGGGGCCTCCAGCACGGGCTCGCCTGTGAAAGGGCCGAGTGGCAAGGAGAGTGAGGTGATTGACTTGGATTCGCTGGAGGACTCGGTTTGTCCAGGTGATGGAAAGACTCACCGATCCCCAATCTACTTCTCACTTTGTTTGTCAAGTTCGCTGTAACATCTTGAACTTAGGCTTCAAATTGTCATATAAGTTGAGCTCCTCGCCAGGAGCTGCAGGTATTAAACACCCGCTCCTTCACCTCTCCTCCAGCTCCAGCACATCCAGCTCAAGCATCCAGCTCCTCTGTGATCACGGCGATACCTTAACTTTTTGATATGGGAACAAGTTGGAACTTTTCAATGCCACCAGTCGATTCCGTTGCTTCGCACTGGCCCAAGGCTCGGTGGTGCCGTCTGCCGGCTCCGCGCCTGAACCAGCACCGGTCGCTGCAGCTTCAGAGGGCGCGAACCACCCAGAGTTCATTCCGGTGCCACGGCCGCGGGCGGCGCGGAACCTGGTGTGGACGCCGACGCCGCCCGTCGCCGACCCGCCCGTGGCAGCGATGGACGGGGAGCAGGGCGCTACGGCGAAGGGCGAGGAGCGCGAGGAGATCTTGAAGGTCCTGAACGCTCCAAGCGTGGAGTCCATGCCGGAGGGCTTGGACATCTATGGCGACTTGTGTGAGGTGCCGACCAGAGGGGCCTCGAGTGAGGTGAAGACCCCGAAGTTCCGGCCGAGGGCCAGGAACTTGGTGTGGAAGGCCGAGAACCCGACCCGACCCGCACCTAGCCGAATGAGGAGAGGAGGTGCTTTTTGAAGTCAGGGCAATGGCCAGCTAAGGCAAGAAGTCAAGTAGTCGAGACTTGAAGATATTGCAAATGGCTACTACTAACTGGTTCGATTCACCGTTTCCCAACAACATAATATATACTGTATATACTGCACGACAAGGACTTGCAAGACATGCTTCAGATTGTGAAACATACGCTGAGGCACCGAAGCCGAACTCAAAGCAGTCGGAGGTTGTGGTGTTGGATGAGGATGCTGGGAGCGTGGACTTGCCACCGCTTCAAACACAGCAGCAGGTGGCAGCTTTGCAGAAAGCTCTGGCAGAGGAAGAGGCCGAGACGTCCAAGACTTCGCTGGGTCAGGCATGGCCGGAGTTGAGCGAACTTGATAAGCCTTCACAGGGTTGTAGCTCATGCCCCCCCAAAAAAATACATAGAGTCAGAGTCGGCAACTGAAAGAACGGACCAGGTAAGCATGAACCTAAAGATGGAATAGGTCCACCCAGGGTTTCCATGATGTTGCAAGTTTCCGCCAGGGACGGGCTTTGACTCCACACTCCCTGAGGCCCCCGCAGCACCTGCCAGCCCGGTCTCAGAGGAAGTGGAGGACAGTGGTGAGGGGGTTGATGTTAACGGCTCTGCAGCGATGCTAGCTCCCCACCAAAAGGAAGAGCTTCCTTTCCCTCTCCACCCGGAGACCTCGCGTGCGAGGAGAGCTCGGAGGACGAGGCGTTGGGCCTTGGGGAGGTCTTGGCCTCAAAGACGGGAGCTCAGGCGCCGCAATGGGCGGCGGCCAACGCGGCAGCAGGCACGAGCGAGTGGGGCGAGAGAGGGTTAAAGGTTCACCTTCTCCAAGTCTGGCTAGAGATGTCTGAAGAATTATGTATACATATATAGGTATATATCCATTTTATTTTTGGAAAGTGGGAGTTCACTGAGAGAAATCTCCTTGAAGCTGAGTAAGTGGTGACTACTAAGTGACTAGGCACTGGTAGAGCAACGCCAAGACCTGTGTCAAGCTTGGACATCTGATTTCTTGTCCTTCACTCTGCCGTGCCAGGATGTGGAACATTCTTCTTCCCCGCACCAGTTTCAATCCCCATCCATCATCCAGCCGTGCCATCCGTCCCATCCGTGCCCCGTGTTCTCCCGTTGTTCCACGCATCGATCACCGCTTCGATCAACGATCCAGACCGAGTCGCAGGTCCAAGTCATCGGGCCGCCCCGCCGCCGAGCATGGCATGTGCATGTCGGCCTCATGATTGCCACTCGGGCCGTTTAGGCTGCCAGGTACTGCGATCGATAGGTTGGTGTGGTGAGTAGGCCTGCATGGGCCTCCCATCCTGCCTTCACAAATGGATGCTTCGATGGATGTGCAGAACTCTAAGGCCCTTCCAACGCCTTTATCAGCCCTTTTTTTCTTCTCTTTTCTCCTTG